GAAAAAAACCATTGTGTTGCGCTTTAATGTGGTAGTAGGGGTGTGGCAGGTAGTGTTTTCTGTAGATATGTGGCATCAGAGGCTTTAGGAAATGGCAGTAAAGTGGCATCTTATGGAAAAAAAACCAGAGAGAAGCACTATCCATTCCTTCTGGTGGAAATATTCTCAGGTATGAGGGGGAGGTCTCTAGACTGTGAAGCACAAGAAACCTGAAAAGAAATTCCATCTCCTTTTTGGTTTTTCTTGTTCTGATGTTCATCTCTCTCTCACAAGTCTTGAGTGCAAATTCTCACTTTTTACATGAAAACTGTTTACATTGAGACATCTGAATCTGAGGGAAAGGGAATGAGAGGAGCCAAAGGCTGCAGCTCTGTTTGAGCAGAACTCTGTACCAGGTGTGGCAGCTGGCTGGGCAGTGCAGGTTTCCTTCTGTCACTGCTTCAGCCTCCTCCATTCACCAGTGAGCCAAGCACAAAACAGTTGGTGCCAAGCTCACATTCAAGGATGCAAATACCAACAGATCCTCTTGATGTGCATGTCCTGCTGACACTGCTGCCATGTGATCACAACACAGGGTCATGTCCTGTGCACTCCATGTCTTAACCTGCCAGAAATGTTTGAGATAATTTTTACATGTACACATTTCCTGTACTTTATTATTTCTGAGCACACAAGGCAGGTAACAGATACTTAATACCAGTCAGATAATAGATTGTTTGGAAGGAATATCAGTTTAAAAAATGCTTATGGTACATGAAGGCCTTGAGCAATTTTTCCCAGGAATGGAAAATCAGGCAAAGTGTGATACCAAAATGTATTCTACTGGAAAGATAAGACATTTTTCAGTGTGCCAACTGCTTACTTTGGAATTTCAGTAGTGTTAATTTATAGGGCTTGTGGTACTATTTTGTGACAATAATAACTGCTGTTCCAGAATGCACCTGGAGAGATTGAAGAGCCTAAGTGATATTTTGAGGATGTGAGTGTGTATATATGATGAGTTTGGGTTTTATTTTATAAGGTGAATCCTGTGTTTATGTCTCCTGTCCATCTTCTGTTACAAGCTTGTATCATTACTTTTGCTGGAGTCTGAGTGTATAGAGAGATTATTAACAGCCATCAGTAACTGAACCATGTCGCAGAAAAAAGAAAACTGACACAGTATATGTGTGCTTCTGTAGATTAAAAGTGAGAAAATAAGGTAGGAAACTAGAATGACAGGTATTGAATAAGGACATACATATGCATGCTAGTAACTAGGTAATACTAAGGTTCATAAAAAAGGGAGAAGTCTGTGCAAGAGGACAAATAAAATTGAACATTAAATATAAAGTCACATAAATGAAACAAATGCTTTTTGCCTTCAAAGACCAAAAACTTGCAGGCATACTAGAAAGAAAATAAATATTAAGATATGAATAGGATCAGCAACTACTCACCATCACTATTAGAATATTTTTAAGTCCAGAGGAGCTGCTTTTACAGAGTTAAATTCATTGACATGTGAAAATCATTATGGAATTGCAGAGAGAAAAGTAACTGAGAAAGTAATACAGTAAATATGCTAAAACCAGGGGAAAATGCATAGTACTAAGTGCTCTACTGAAGGCATGTTATTTTGTGCTGCATTACTACATCCCCAAACGTCCACTGTAATCATCAAGCATCTGCAGAGAATTTTTAGGCCTGCACACAAACAGGTTGTATAATGAAGCAGTCTTGGGACTCAAAAGTAATTGCTGGCATACCTGAACCACCTTCTTTGCATGCTGAGGTCTTATGGGAAAGGACAGCAGGTCTTCAATGGCCAGATGGCCTAAATTCTGCATAATTTACTGTCATTAGTATGTCCAAGAACTGTTTTGCAGTCACACACTGTATTGCCATGATCACAGATGGAGTTTAGGATCATGGATGGACTCTTTAGGATCATGCACTGGCCAGTGACAAGGGCATATTGGCTCCAGAATTATCTCCTATGCGGTTTATCTTGGACTATTTACCAGTTTATCCCCATAACATAGCTAAAGCAACTGTTGCACTGGGAGCAATGGAACTGTGGAACTGTGCAGTGTGAGCTACAGAAGAATGCAGGAATGAATGCCCATGAAGCAGCGCAGCATAAAATCTCTGCTGCTTCTGGTGCCTGAAACAACCTGGTTTGAGCTTCTTGTGCCATCTCTGCAGTAGACTGCAAACAGGCTTTTGGAAAGGGAGGAGAAAGCAAGGGAAAAAAACCCACTTGGAGGGGATGGTCAGAAGCGTGAATAAACCTGCATGAGTCTGAGTCTGTGTTCAAGGACCAGGATATTCAGTCTTGGATACTTTAATCCTTAGCTCCAGATGCAGCTCACCCCCACTGCAGGAAGTGCCTAGTCACAAAACTCTGTGTCAGCCCAGTAATCTCACAGTTCACACAGCTTAGAATGTCCTGCAGAATCAGATGTGAAAGGAAACATGTACTGCCCATCACCTCTGCTCAGTGATGCCCAGGTTCACAGTCACACGTTTATACTCTATGAACATTTGGATAAAGCAACCAGTGGACCATATCACAACATACTTTTTAGTGAGTTATTACGCATGACAATTTCTAAAGGAAAATCATCTGATCCTATCATTTCAGGTCCCTTAGCAGCTTTATCCTGATTTGTAGATTTTGTTGTTTTAATTTTTTTTTTAATTAAAAGAATGTGTAAGGATGAGTTTACTAGGTTAAAATGGCTGAAAACAGGAGCCAAAGTTTTAAAAGACATGCACCTAGCAGGTCTTTGCCCTGGAACAGGGCAGTCTGTACATCCAAGGGCGTTCTATTTTGACCCTTAGGTTTCCTCAGCTTGACAGAATTGTTTTGCAGAGGTAGCCAGGGAATGTTTAAAGGCACTGAATGTGTCAGGTGTGATTTGGTATAACAGGAAAAGGAATAGCAGTGAGAATAGGGAAGGAGGGATAGACAGCTCTCCTGCTTGTTTGCCATGATGCTGCATGGTACTACAGAGAGCTCACCTAGACACAGCTATGCCATTGTTCCTTGGGAAGATTTTTCATTTGCCTTTGGAGGCAGGTGAACTTGGAGGATGTGATGGGGTGCAAACAGTAATTTCTTTGGGGGATTTTCAGACAAGAACTAGATCAGAGTGAATAGCAGTAGCTATTTACTTACCTTTGAGTTACCAGCATTTTGCACTGCTACACCAAGAAAAATTTCCAATAGATGTATCTGTCCCTTGCTACTGTAGTCAGTGTGCAGCAGAGCTATTTTCTCTCACTCTGGAAATGCAGTTTGGATTCCTAAGGAGCTGTATTCACTTTTGTTCCCAGTTTCCTAACATAAATTTAGGAACTGCCAAAGTAGTAAGTACTACATCTCTGTGGATAATTTTGTCAGGAAAAATGAAAAACATTACTCAGAACATCCCTGTAACTGCTCAACTAATGACTTGATGAGCTGCAGCAGTAACTATTAAGTATGCAGCTCTAACTGTTAAATACTTCAGCTAAAGCTCTTTTATGTTTCTGAAAACCTCAAGCTAGATGAGAATCTTAAGCGAAACTCAAAAAGACAATGAAAGAATTCTTTGCCTGGTCAAAGGTAGTAGCACTGCTGTTACACTATCTTCTCAGTTTTTAATGGGGATTAGCATTTGAGAAGATACATCACTGGCAGGAGGAAAGTGTACCGATTTCCTCATGTCTTCTCCCATCCTCAGAGAAGAAAAGTACAAGAGTTGCCAAGAATCTTCATTTGCTCTTTCATTTCTAGCTTTATAGAACAGAAATGCATCAGCTGAGAATGCCACCAAAATTTGCAATTAGTAGGGCAAACAGAAAAGTATTACTATGAACTTGTCCACAAGTATAAAAGCCACAACAATGTTTCCCAATCTTTGTACCACGAAATGAGAAGTAACATTTCAGAAAGTGGATTAAACCTTATAAAATCTTAACTACCATCACTTGGAAATACTGCAATTCTGACAAGTCAGTTCAGAAAAGACATATAATGTGATTTGAGTATGTAGGAAGGAGTTTAGTGAGTAATTTCAGTGCATTGCTAAGAGGAATAAAAGACCTGAAATACAAATCAATCTGTTTTTCTAAAACCCTCCCCCCCCAAAACCAATAAGTTATCTCTCCAGCACAGCAAATGTGAAAACAATAACAAAGAAAGAAACATTTTCCAGGGGAGACTCTGAGCACTCTCTGAGAAACAGAGTCCCTCAATGCATCTGTGTAGGAAACCCAGCAACTGCATCTCCCCTTTGCTGTATGGACACTACAGCTACCTGATTCCATTATTGTCAGGAGTACAAAGGTAAAGTTTTTCCCTGACATTTTTTCTTTGACAGTCACAAAGCTTTATTTTGCTTCAAGAAATCAGAAAAAACCTGAGCACTTTGAAACTATGTTCTTACCAGACCTCTAGATATGCACAGATGGCAGTGTAAATAGTCTCATTAGTTAAAATCAGCAGGAACAAAACATCTCAGAGCTGACTGTGAGAAAAGCTATTAAAAACAGCATCTGAAGTGATTTCTGAAGAGGAGGCAAATGCCTCTGCCATCTGCAGAAATACAGAGAAGAGGGAAATTTGAAATCCTCTCCCTTTACACATACACTCTGCAACTCCTTATCAGTATATATTAGATGACTGGCTGAGAGACAGACTGTTTTCACAGTGGGAAGCAAAACCCTGAGTTGCTGTTACAGAATAAGTATTGAAAGTTGGAGCACAGAAAGCAGCTGAAGTCAAACAGAGAGAGGAAATGTTTGTTATAAAAGAAAGCAGAAGGATAAAAACAATGAAAGACTGAAGGAAAAAGACCAAAGACCAGGAGAAAAAGTGTGTTAGGGAGAGATCCTAAAGAAGCACAGAGGAGCACAAGGAATGAACTATTGAAGTCTTTGCCTCTCACCACTATGATTGTTATCTCTGCATTTTTATTTTGGCAGAGAATCTGATCTCAATCTCTCACCCCTAAACTTTTCTCTTTTCTCACCTGTCCACGGCGATGGCTGTCATGGAGTAGATGCTGGCAAAGACAGCTGTGATTGGGAAGAAGTTGTGGAAGCGGCAGTAAGCCTCTCCAAAGTACCACTCGCTGTGCAGCGCATAGATGAAGTTGATGAGAGTATTGAAAGCAGCCATGGAGGCATCAGAGAAGGCCAGATTCACCAGGAAGTAATTTGTCACTGTCCTCATGCGCTTGTGAGCCAGGATAATCCAGATGACAATAAGATTCCCAAAAACGGCCACTGCCACCACACCACCGTAAGCCAGAGACCACAGGGCGATGCGCCAAGAAGGTTGCACGAACTGATTGGAGAAGTTGGCTGCTGAGGAGGCTACAGGGGCAGAAGCATTTGCAGCTGGTGCTTCCAGAGCCTGTCCCCAAAGATCGCCTGCTTGAGCAAGGCTCACGTTCCACCTGCTGCTCATGCTCATGTTCCACCTGGCTGTGGGGACTGAAGTCATCTTGGGTGTTTCTCTCCTCTCTTCCAGGAATGATGTACGTCTCCCGCCTCCCTCTCCCAACCCTACAAAATCCCCACCAACAGATAAGAAGAGGGAAGGAAGAGAAGGGGAAGTAAGGCAGCACAGCAGGTACTGGAAAGGAGAGTTCTGTCAGAAAAAATCTTTGACTATGCTGTTCAAATTGTTAGAAATGCTCTAACAGACACGTCAGGAGAGCTACCTCAGAGTAGAACAGCATCCTGTCTCTCTGTACAGCCTCTTGCTTTTGATTTTGCTTTAGGAGAAGGGGACTGGGAGCCAAGGCACATTTTATAGGCTTGTGAGTTCCCAGCGTCACGAAGGGAGTGGAGCGATAAGCTCCATCGGCTGGTAAGCTAACAGCTCTTTCCCTCTGCTCTCCCTCCCCTTGTATGTCATTCGTTGCCAGCAGCAGGCACTTTCAGCAGCTGTGGAAAGCATTGCAGAGAAAATGAATTCTCATCTCGTTTATCTTGAGAGATTTGTTTTATATTGTCTTTCTTAAAGTTTCATTATTGTGCATCCTTTTTTAAATAGTCTTTTTGCCCTGTGTTTGCAGGGGTAATCAGCTGGCTTAGTTGAAATTCCCAGGACTGAGACCGCCTTTTTTATTACGGCTCTTTCCAGATGAATTTATTCCAGATCAATTCAGAGCTGCCTTTTTTTTTTTGCTGCTGTCTTTTTATTTAGTACACACTTTCCTTGAAACCATTCTGTTACCTACAGATTTAGAATAGTGACTCTTTTGGACAAACAAATACATTCTACTGCTCTCTAATTTCACTTTTCATTCTGTAATATGTAATTGATATCAATAAATATTTATAAGCTATTTGCATGTTCAGCAATTACTGATTTTTACTGAAACAGTATGCAGCTCTAAACATAGGTGTCCCTAGTTATGGGCAAAATATTTGGGGTTTGTTTTCTTTGTGGCTTTGAAAAAAAATAGTTATTTTTCCTGATTTGCATTTATTTCATGCTTAGTACTATTATTATTTTGAACAACCAATATTTTAATATGCAGTGATTTCTATATTGGTATAAAAGGGTAAATGAGGAAATTTAACACCCAATATTTTCAAATCCAAAATCAGTTTTCTTGTTAATATGTTAACGACAGCTGTCATTAGGAATGCATGTCTTATGCAAGGATTGATTGCAAGGGACTTCAACTAACAAACCTTTGTTATTCAATAGGCTGCAGTCTTAAGGGAGAAAATGTGTTTTACTGCCAATCTTTCATGTTTCAACAATTTAGAGCTACTACTTGTCATCAGCAGAGGTTTCATTTGTATCACAGCAGTGGGAGCTATTCAATGTCCCTATCAGCAATGACACATTCAGTACTTTTTTAAACAAAAGCTTCAAATAAAAATCAAATACTCCTGTGTACCACTTCCTCCCGATGTATTTACCCAGTGGAAGCAGTTCCTGCACTTTAATTGTCAGGTCTTCACTGCAGTTTTAACTTGAATGAATGTAATTGTGGCTGTTTCTATATGAGCTTTCACCAACTTACCCCAGCTTGAGAGCTGCCCATGTCAGGCTTAGAAGTTTTGCAGAAAACCTCAGAAGCTCTGCTGTAAATCACCTGGTGCTACAGGATGTCTAGAACCCACCCATGCACTGCAGTTGCCTGTAACAGGAAAGTCACTGCAGTTAATCCCACAGTTCCATTTTGAATTCTGAATCTTCCAGCTGCCTCTTCTTTCTTCCTCTCCCTGGAGGCGAACCTGAAGAAAGGCATGGTAGACAATCTCTGTGAGTTTGAGAGATGAAAACATTCAATTAGTGGTTCCAAAGGCTGAGGAGCAGTGCACTGACTAGTAATAGCAGAGAGCTGGACACTCAGCTCTTAATTCCAGCAGTTTCACTCAAGATTTTCACATGGCTGTAAGCCAGAGAGTAAAAATCCAGCCCTGTGCCCTATACCATTCCATCTTTATGCCCAAACTAGGAACTCCAGGCTTTATCCTTTTACTAAGCTGATGTGTTTTTCACATTGGCACACCAGTTGCACAGGTGTCCTACATGCTTCTGTTGTTACCATCCATCTCTCCCAACCTCAGCTCTATTATTGCCTTTCCTTCATTTTAGCAGAGACACAGACACCTTATTTCTAGCACACAGTACTGACAAGTGTGCAGTAGAGTGTAAACATACAGGAGCAGAGTCCTGTGGAACACTGTGGTAATTTCCTCTGTATGGGAAGATAAAGGATCTGTGTCTGAACCACTTGCTGTAGTTCATGGAATCCCATTCTGGTCATGTGTGTAAATTCTGTCTTGGGTTTCCTTGAAAAATGTGTGATATCCAGTGGTGCTGCAAACTAGGGACTGGATTTTGACTTTGAAAGCAGAAGTCTAATTTCTTGTTCTGGAATGAAACTCGTTCTAGCTTTGCTATGAAAAATTGCTTGCCATTGCACTCCAGGTGTTCAGGAGAGACCATTCCCATGTCTTTCCCTAATCATCTACAGTGCCCCCAAGGGAATCTGTTGTCTGTGCATTCCTAGTCACAATATGAGAAGACAGTACTAGGCAACATCCCCTTATTCTAGCAGAAGTATAGGCAAACTGAGTCCTTGAGACTTACTTTAAACACAAATCAGGAAGCTTTTTAGTGTGTGTTTGTGAAATGTCAGCCAGGCCACCAACACAGGAGTGTAAGCTTTGCAGTGTAGAAATCAACATGTCATTGATTCTGTCTTCGTTTTCAGAGGTACCCTGAGGAAATAAGCCCTCCCTGTAGGGAAATTTTTATACACTATGCTCTTCCCATGTCCCCTCTCCCCAATAAATGAGAAGAAAAACTGTGGGATACCATTAGCATAAAAGGACAACCTAGATTTTTTAATTAGTCATTTGCTCAGTAAGATGGATGTGATCAGCATGTATCTGAAACTGGCAGAAGAGGTGGCTGAGTATCTGGAGTTGTTTTGAGAAGTGAAAACTGAACAGCATAGGATAAATGTTGGGCAGCTGGATCAGTCTCCCATGGGGAATATTTATGACTCCTTTTGGAGAGGACTAAAAATTTGCTAGAATAAATTCTCTGTGTTCTGGCTTTCATTCTTACTGAAACCACAGAGAAGTAATTGGAGCAAAACCAGGTTTCCCTACATCTGAAGTGCTACAGCAAAAAAATAGGGTGATCTGCCTTGCTAACATTTTACTTAACTCATAAGAAAAGATGTTAGGCAGCCAGTCATTAATTGGATCTTATCTATAGAGGAAATTCACATATATAGTGATCTCAGCTGTGCTTCTCCATCAAAATTAGTATCGGTTACACATGTACTGATTGAAGCTTAGTCAGCTGGAGACCATTAGCATTGAGTTTCTCAAAAAAGATCCACAGCAACTTTGGTGAAAACATTTGTGTTAATAACTTCTGAGCAGCATAATCGATCTGAGATGCACCTTATGCAAAGAAGTAATACAAAAGACAAGGATCTGTGTTTTTTCTCAGTCTCTCGTAGACAATTGAGGGTAACTGGTGTTTTCTTCCATAACTGTTACAGGTATGTGATTTCTTATGTGAACTTTTGGCCATTCCAGTTTATGCATATTTGCAGTTGGAATGTTTAATTTTCCCCTCTGTAAGGCAACTCAATTTTAGAGTGACTTTCTTCTGGCCATCTGCTATCTGCTATTTCCTGATGGTCATTTGCTCCTTTGCTTTTCCACTGACTGATACTTTGTTCCCGTGTCAAAGCATTTTCTACTTTTAAACTGTGGTTAAACTTGTCACTATTAGCAGCTCCCCATTCCCAGCTTTACAGAAGCACTAGAAATCTAAAAGAAATATCCAAAGTGTGAACAGAAAAGTAGCTGTGGTTGTCGCTACTTCTTCCTTTGTGTTATATAGTTTGAACCTATTTTTTCACAGTTCCAGCTTAGCTGGCTCCTACTTAGCCAGAGAAGAAGCTAAACTCCTGACTTAGCATCTTGACTAGAAGATAGGTTTAGCAGTTATTATTTTCTTAGCTATTTATGAGATTATGATTTAATTTTCTACAGGTCTTCTGATGTGCTTGAAGTTTTTGTTGGAAATTGTTCTTCCACTAAATTTTTCTGTGTGCTATGAGAATGGGAGACAGAGAGTATCATCATTATTGCACAAGTAGGGATTTGTGGTAAAACAGCAGCTTTACTGTGGTAAAACGGTATGTCTGTTTAGCATAAGTGGTAACTGCATCATTAAGGTGTTTCACAAGGCCTGTCCTCTGTACCTTCTTTTGTATACAGAACAGAGAGCATTGTGAAGTTTGCTTTTGGTTTTGGATTTGCTTGCTTGATTAGGCTTAGCCTAATAACCTCTTTCCCTGCCTCCGTCCTTCAGTGCCCTGCTGGAAGAAATGATCATTCAACAGGAGCTTTTTTATTCTTCAGATTTCATAGCTCCTGTTCATCAGTCAGTCATGAAAAGGTTTAGCTAGGGCGGCAGAAGTTATGCAATTTAAGGATGTTCAGCACTGTCCTATTTATCATGGCTGTGTGTTTGCATTGTGCTGCTGTCATAACAGTGCCAAACCACCTAGATTTTGAACAGTTTGCTTTTTTTTTGTGTAGCTTAAAACACATCTGGAAAACTTGAACCAAAACTTGGTTTCTGATAATTGTTTATGAATGCAAAAGTCTTATTCCTGTCACCAACTGCAAGTGACTCAGTAGGATATTTAGCAGCTTCACAAGCATGCAAGTAAGGATGTTGCAGCAAAGGGGAAAGACCAAAACCAGAAATATGGTGTGTGGCTCTTCATCATGGCTAGAAGGCCAAAGGGTGAGGAAAATCTGAGCCAAAGAACTGATTAGAGACAAGTTTTCTTCTGGAATATGATGCTGAGATGCGCCTTTGCTGGACTGTTTTTACAATAAAGTGAAACTCAGTATGTCTAGAGATGAGTTATGAGAAACAAACAGTAAATAGAAATGAAGACTTTTGAATTTCAAATAATAAAAATTATTTTGTATGAGAAAACTATTTTCTTTCTCAATAAAAGATTTCTTCAGCCATTGAGAGTTTGATTTCTGATCCTCCTGAAAGGCTAAATATATGTTTTCCATTGTCATCAGCATAGCTTATCCCTCTGTTCTTTAGCTGCTACACACAGGACGTGACTGAAGGTGTTAAATTGCTGGCATGGTGAGGTGCCTGTGCCAAAATGTAATTTGTAGGACACAGTCATTCTGTGAAAAGTAATTCTTATTCATTTGCTTTCCTGGTCAGCTAGGGCTTTGAGAGGAAAATACAATATAC